CCCAAAAAAAAAAAAAAAAAAAAAAAAAATGGCAACTTTGGATTAAAAGTCTTGATTCCCAGCTTCCAAGGAAGAATCCAATATCAGGCAACATGGAGCCTTCGCTCCCACGCAGACACCATGGCAGAGCTGAGTGGTGCCTTCCTCAGGGGAGAGGGGGTCTCTCCCCATGCCAGGCTCAACTCTCCCTCCTTCCTTGCCTGCCTGGCCCTGGAGGCATCTGAGTTTGTGACCCCACCCCACTGGGGTCTAAATAGTTCTTTAAAGGTAATAGACACCTTCTTTAACGTGCTTGTCCCCGTAATGAGCCACTAGACGTGTTTTTATTTAAAATTCCTGGGTTTTTTCTCAACTGACTTTCAAAGTATATCAGAGAAGGGATACATGGAGATTAACATCACAAATACTACTGAGGACTGGGAAGAAAAATCTGGGATGCAGTGAATCCGTGTCACCTGTTATTCCTTTAAAACTGTAGATTCTCAGGTTCATCCCTAGATATCCTGATTCAGCACTTAGATGGTGCTCAGGAATCTATATTTTGTTTTATTTTTTATTGAAGTGTAGTTGATTTATAATATTGTGTTAGTTGTAGGTATATAGCATAGTGATTCAGATTTTTTGCAGATTATATTCCATTATAGGTTATTCAAGATATTGGATATGATTCCCTGTGCTGTGCAGTAGGTCCTTGTTGTTTATCTGTTTTATATATAGTAGTGTGTATCTGTTAATCCGAAATTCCTAATTTATCCCTCCCCCCACTTCTATGCTTTTCTGTACGGCTAGAATCTTATTAGCATTCTCACAGAAATTAATGGTTAGGTAAGTTTGTTAGTAGTAATAAAATTTTTTTTACATAAAAAATTTTCTGTTGCATTGCTCAGAAAAACTTGGCATTATTTCAATTTATATTTTTTACTCAATGTATTTATAATTTTTTAGGTAGGAATTCCAGATTTGTGGCAGCTGCCGCTGCTTTGGGTTCCCTACTGCTGGCTCATTTTCTTCTGTTATTTCCCATTTTCTTATGTTTCTACTCTATAAGACAGAGTTAAAAAGTAAAGATGATTCATTTTCAGGAATTGTACTGCTTTAGGCTTAATTTGAGCCTCTGTTCTGTTTTTGTTTTTGTTTTTGTTTTTTTTTGCGGTACGCGGGCCTCTCACTGTTGTGGCCTCTCCCGTTGCAGAGCACAGGCTCCGGACACGCAGGCTCAGCGGCCGTGGCTCACGGGCCCAGCCGCTCCGTGGCGTGTGGGATCTTCCCGGACCGGGGCACGAACCCGTGTCCCCTGCATCGGCAGGCGGACTCCCAACCGCTGTGCCACCGGGGAAGCCCCTATTTTAAGTATAGTAGTTTGTACCCGTTAATCCCAAACTCCCAATTTGTCCCTCCCCCTCCTTCTCCCCTTCGGTAACCATAAGTTTGTTTTCTGTATCTGTGAGTCTGTTTCTGTTCTGTAAAGATTCACTTGTACTATTTTTTAGATTCAGGAATCTATATTTTAAACAAGCACCCCAGTGATCTTTATTATCGGACAAATTAGAAAAACATTGCCACAGATAAAAAGCGACGCAGTGCAAAAGACAGCTTCTATAATTAGCACCTGAATAATTAACAACTGTCTCCCGTTAGCATCCCCAAGCAGAATTGAAGGCTCATCTGTCACTTGGATCCCTGTTCCCCTTTTATCCCAATTGTAGTGCAGATGGTGACTTTGCCATTGTCAAGTTCACCAAAGTGCTCCTGGACTACACTGGCCACATCACGTGGACACCTCCCGCCATCTTTAAAAGCTACTGTGAGATCATCGTCACCCACTTTCCCTTTGACGAACAGAACTGCAGCATGAAGCTGGGCACCTGGACCTATGACGGATCCGTGGTGGCCATCAACCCGGTAGGTGGTGACCTGCTGTGAGGAGGTTGGATGCAGGAAAAGCGTGATTCAGGTCTCCAACTCTGCCCCTCCATTATCATAGGCTCTCAGCACCCATTCGAACTTTGGGGATTGTCTAGTTTGATGGTTCTCAATTGGTTGGGAAGGTTCTTGATGCACTGCATAAGAGAGCCACTTGGGGCTTAAATAATTCTCTATGCCCAGGCTGAGGCCCAAGAATTCTGATTTAATCAGACTGGGGTGGAGCTAGGGCACCAGTATATTTTAAAGCTCCCAAGTGACTTGAATGTATAGTCAACATGGAGAATCCCAATAGTCCAAACCCCCTTATTTTACAGGAAAGGAACCTAAGACCCCAAAGCAAAGGTGACCCAGGGTCCCTCCTGGGTATGTGACAGTGCTGGGATCGGTTGCCTTGTCACGGCTGATTAGGAAACCCTCCCCCTCCTCAGGGTGATTCAAAGTTTCATTCCATCTTCTCAGGAAAGCGAGCAGCCAGACCTAAGCAACTTCATGGAGAGCGGGGAATGGGTGATCAAGGAGTCCCGGGGCTGGAAGCACTGGGTGTTCTACGCCTGCTGCCCCTCCACCCCCTACCTGGACATCACCTACCACTTTGTCATGCAGCGCCTGCCCCTCTACTTCATCGTCAACGTCATCATTCCCTGCCTGCTATTCTCCTTCTTAACCGGCCTGGTGTTCTACCTGCCCACAGACTCAGGTGGGTGCAGTTGCCGTGGTGGCAGCTGCTGGCCCTGATGGATCTCGGGCTACTATTCCGGGCGAAGCCAGAAATAACCATGGCTAATAAACAAATACAGGCAGACAGACCCAAATCATCATCCCCGGGAGGATGCGTGTACTGACTGGCCATGTGCAGTGGTGAAATCCCAGCTGGGGCAGACTACAGAGCAGGCAGAGAGCTGAATGGGACTCTGAAGATGCACATACATAGCTCAGTCTGGTTAAGTGAATAACCACCAGCACCTATTTGCTGAATACCTGCTGTGTGTCCCGAAATGTGCTGGGTAAGGCGTGTATCACAGACACTACCGATGCCTCGTACCCCATGAAGTCACTTGCTGTACGTGACTGATCAGGTCTTGCCTCCTTTGCCCATGGCTTGAAATAGCTTTTGTGTATCTACTCTCCAGATGGCAGTATCTTTACACACAACACCACACTTCCCAAGTGGCAATTCTTTCCCCCATATCAGCCTGGACGACTGACTTACCTCCTACTGAGTAATCACATCTGTGACATAATTTCACCAGACACCAACAATCTACAGAAAAGGGGAAAAGGGAACACATATGCCTGCAAGCAAGTCACTGCTCTTAAATGATTTACAGCAGACAAGCAGGGAAAAAAGAAAGATGGTAACATGGTCCTCAAACTTATGACATAACAATTTTATCAAAAGGCCAAAAAAAAAAAAAAACCCACAAAAGTCTAAATCCAACTTTCCAACAAGAAAAAAAAAAACTTACACATTCACTCACTCAACATATACCGTTTAAACAACTGTTACAAGACAGGGATAAGGTAGAGAACAAGGCAGAATTTTCCCCACAGAACATATGTTCTAGGGATTGTACTCATTCCTAAACAAATGATCGCAAACAAATATTTTTTCACCTTTCTAATCAAATGAAGCTTCTTAAAGTGAAGATAGAAAACTCTAGGCAGGGCAATATGGAAACTAATCAGAGTTTCTATAAATATTAAATGATGTATGCTTGAAAAGCATTTAGAACAGTGAGACTGCTTGATAATTGTTAGCTATCGTTATTATCATTAATCAAGAAATTTGATGTACCTTGATAAATATTTTATATTTATAATTCTGTTTTCTTTTTTACTTTTGAAGACTTTCCTACCCACCAGAAACTGACAATTTCTTGTTTGCATCCACTCTGGATCCTGTGTATATTCCTAGCATCTGGATGCATCCAGAATGGGAAAAGCTCCACACTGGAAAGCAGGGCCACACGAGGGGTTTCCCAGGACACAAACACCAAGACCAACCCAAGGAAAGTCCCTTCCAAAGTCTCTCTACTGCATCTGAGCTGGTCAATCCCCACAAAAATATTCCAGTGCCATCCAGCCCCTGGCTTTCTTGTTTACTTGTCCAACCAAGACACCATCTGGAAATTGTTCACCCTGAAAGTGTAGGGCCTGGGGAAAAGATTCAGGGGAAGGGGAATCCCTCATCCCTTAGTATGAAAAACAAAAAAAGTCAAAATAAGAAAAAAAAAAAAACCCAAATCATCCCCTTAGATGAAGAAGAGAAAGTGAGCGGTGTGAAATCATTGATTTTGTCCTTTCTCGGCTTTGGTCTTGCAGCTTTTTTTGCTCCCACAATGAGAAAAAGATACGTGTACTTCTGGGCTGCCCATCCATCTGCTGGGTAACAAGTAGGCCAGGCTGCAGTTCAGTTTTGTGAGGTTTAAGACATTCTGCTGCAGACGGAAAAACTGCCATCTGGGGTCTCGATTACCACCCAGAACCTCTCTGGGTTCCCTGAGTTCCGCCAAGAAACGGAATGCTAGGCAAGAGGTGAAATAGCATTTCCTGCTTGGCAGCCTCTAATGGAAATGCCTGCCACTTGCCATCAGCAGCAGCTTTAAGGTGCCAAGGTCTCATAGGAAATTCTGCAGAAAAAATGCCCCACAACGAGACCTTGAGAACATGCCAGTCACGTTCCTCTCACCCTTGGGTTTTGGTGGTGTGCTCGTTTGCTAGGGCTGCCTTCACCAAGGACCACAGACTGGTGGCTTAAGCAACAGAGGTTTATTTTCCCACAGTGCTGGAGGCTGGAAGTCCAAGATCAAGGCGTCGGCAGGGTTGGTTTCCTCTGAGGTCTCTCTCCTTGGCTTGCAGATGGCTGTCTTCAGCCTGGGTCCTCACATGGCCTTTCCTCTGTGTGTGTGTGTGTGTCTTAATCTCCTTTTCTGATAAGGACACCAGTCATATTGGATGAGGGCCCACCCTAAGACCTCATTTTAATTGAATTACATCATTAAAGGCCCTATCTCCAAAACAGTGCCTGAGGTGCTGGGGCTTAGTGTTTCAACACATAAATTTGGGTGGAAGAACAATTTAGCCCATAACAGGTGGGTTGTGTTCGTTTCTTCTTTTGTCCAGGAGAGAAGATGACTCTGAGCATCTCTGTCCTGCTGTCCTTAACCGTGTTCCTTCTGGTCATTGTGGAGCTGATCCCTTCCACCTCCAGTGCGGTGCCCTTGATTGGAAAGTACATGCTGTTCACCATGGTGTTCGTCATCGCATCCATCATCATCACCGTCATCGTCATCAATACACACCACCGCTCCCCCAGCACCCACGTCATGCCCGAGTGGGTGCGGAAGGTGAGCGAGCAAGGCCCCGTAACACTTTGCCCAGGGCTGCCCCTCCCTCAAGGCATCCGCGGGTCTACTCTTCTGTGTGGCCAGTGGCCTCCTAGGTAACCCTTGTGGGCACTTAGGAACGGAAAGTCCTTTCTGGGCTGTAGGGGTTTTGGGGAAGGAACTTTCTTTGGCTTCTTGCTGGGTATAAATAACTCAAGCAACCGCCCCAGGGAGATAAGAAAACCAGAATTAACAAAGCCCATTCGAAACTCAACCTTAAAGAATCTCTTTGATTAGAGAAGATGAATAAATCACTATCCTTTTATTCAAATGCTGTGAAATCTTGAGATGTCTGTTTTTATGTCTTCCAGTTTGTGAACAGACTGCTTATTTTTTTGCTGGTAGAATCATCTGCTGAGACTAGAATAAGGGCTAGAAATTGGGAGTCGGGGTAGGGAGGGGGTTTGATGAGAGATTGTCAAGAAGTTTTAGTGAGGAACTTGGTCTCAAATATTTACATTACTGAATTTTAAAATGTGCTAACATTTCCAATATGTTGGTTCTTTTATACATCTTCACAGAGACACTAACGTCCAGCCTTTTGTGCACAATGCAAAAGATTTGTTATGAATTGACAGAGAAACTACTGCTTGCAATGTATTCTTTTGGGAGGAGAGACAGTCCCTGCTTCTCTAAAGGCCAAGTGACTCCTGGCAATACCTATGTTGCATTTCTTCAGGAGCAAGAAACAGAAGAAAACAGTCTAGCTGTTTTGTGGGGCCGGAAGCTTATATATTTTTTTTAACGGGAGGGGCCCTTTCTTTAACCTTCTGATCATGAGGACACAGACCTTGAAAGAAGTGGGTGCCTACAGGGGGTCTGGAAGCTTAAGCTTCGTTGGTTTCTTGAGTCAGTAGCTGCACACAGGCTCCCTCCAGTGGCAAGCTTCTGGCATTACAGAATCATCTCTGTTAGCCTTAGGAATTTGACAGGTCACAGGATACAGATGAGCAAGCTTTGAGAAAATCTAGTAGAGTCCTTTTGGTTTAGGGACAAAGAGGCTGAGGCCCAGAAAAGCTGAGTAATTCGCCTAAGGTCACATTGCTTATGCAAAATCAGAGTTTTATGCTTGCCCTGCTGACAATAATTCCCATACGTGGACTTCTTTTTTATTTTGTTATAGGTTTTTATCGACACTATCCCAAATATCATGTTCTTCTCCACGATGAAAAGACCATCCAGAGAAAAACAAGACAAAAAAATTTTTACAGAAGACATTGATATTTCTGACATTTCTGGGAAGCCGGGACCTCCACCCATGGGTTTCCACTCTCCCCTGATCAAACACCCCGAGGTGAAAAGTGCCATTGAGGGCATCAAATACATCGCAGAGACCATGAAGTCAGACCAGGAATCCAATAACGTAAGCTCTGTGGCTTGAGATCTGCACCTCTTGTTTAAATGGTCAAATGCTCGAGCACAGAGGGATGGGTTTGGCTTGATGGGAAGGTTGGCGTTCAATGGGCAGCTACTGACGTAAGATGCGCCCAGTGACCCCCTAGGCCATCTTAGCAAGTCATCATATTGTGAATAACCTATTTAAAAAAATAAAGATGATAATGCCAGTGGAGGGATGATCAACAGATTGAAGGGCCCCTAGATGACGGATAGCACGAACATCGTTGAGTCCATGATCGTCTTACGGAAATTCTAACGTATTCCTCTCTCCCAGGCGGCCGAGGAATGGAAGTATGTTGCAATGGTGATGGACCACATTCTCCTCGGAGTCTTCATGCTCGTCTGCATCATCGGAACGCTGGCTGTGTTTGCAGGTCGGCTCATTGAATTAAATCAGCAAGGATGAGCAGAAAGCTGAGCTGAACCTTAGCGCCAGGGAGATTCGTCTACTTGGATACATGCTCACTTATCAAACATTTAATTTTCTGTATTTATTATTCATGACAAAAGTTTCTGTTTACATAAGGTTATGGCCTCAAAGTGTCTTCACATTGCTTCTCCCTTCACTCCTGCTGTGGCTGCCTGGAGAGTGAACCCTTTGCAGTAAATGAATCTGGATTGGTACATGAAGCATTCATTTCCAACAGTGTCCAGAAGAATTTTGCCCAGGATAACTGAGCTTTTCTGTTAGTTTTTTAAATTATTAAATTTTACACAAAGAGTCTATCCTTTGCTTAAAAGTCAGTTTTGTACCTGCTAAAAAAGCCCCATCTACCAGTCCCAAAAAGATGAAACATTTGACTTGGAGAGAAAGAAAGCAGTAGAAAGACAATAGGAAAATTCTAGAATGGCCACCACAATGCAAACTGCCTCAAAAACTCATGCTTTAAAGTAGGTTTCTAGAACTTGGAGGTGAGGGAAGGTCTTCCCAGTCTAATACAGCACCTGAGCTTGATGCTCGGGGTTTGAGGGAAAAGAGGTCCTAACCTGTATTGAGTGTGGGCCCAGGCACTGTGGGAAGGGGCTCGCAGGCATGTTTTTATTTATCCTCAGAACTCTCATGACTGTCCCTGTTTTACAAATGCGGAAACTGAACTTGAGGGAGGTTAAGTTCACGGCCCAAAATAACAAGTAGAACTGACATTTGAACCTAGACCTTGTAGGTTCAAAGCAGCTCTGGGCTGGGCCAGTTCATCTGCTCGCTTGCTCTTTGGATCAACTCTGGCTCCATCTGGGCCATTCTGCGACTCTGGTCAGTGTTTCTGAGAGGTTCAGTCCTAGTGTCAGCCATCTTTCTGCCTTCCCAATTAAACCACCTGCCTTTTCCCCGTCCTTACCCCACTCCTGTTTGGGGTTCTAGTTCTATAAATGAAATCAGAAATGTGTGCACATATCATCATCAATTCTGCAATTCTGGACAAGGAGAGAAAATTATTTCCTTTCTTCATAGCAACCTATAAGCCACAAGGCAGTTCACCCCAGAACTAGAATATGTGCAGCCCTGGGCTCAGTAATGGCCATCAGATCCCCAGAACACATCTGATCCACATCAGTACCAGGGAGAACGGGGAATGGCAGTGCCAGGCAGCCTGTCTGAATGCAGGTGGGTTCAATCTACATCTCCATGGGACTCCCCGTCACACACCCGTGGCAGGACTGAGTGCCTTCATTTAAGAGTAAACTAAAGAGAAAGAGATTTGGCAGTTCTTCAAAAAGCCAAACGTAGATGGGAGGGAGGCGCAAGAGGGAGGGGATATGGGGATATATGTATGCATATAGCTGATTCACTTTGTTATACAGCAGAAACTAACACAACATTGTAAAGCAACTATACTCCAATAAAGATGTTGAAAAAAAAAGCTAAACATAGAATTGTCATATGATCCACCAATTCCACTCCCAGGTATACACCCAAAAGAACTGAAAGCAGGGACCTGAACAGATACTTGGACACCAAAGTTCACTGCAGTATTATTCACAATAGCCGAATGGTGGAAATCACCCAAATGTCCATCAATAGATAAACAAAACGTGGTGTGTGTGTGTGTGTGTGTGTGTGTATATATATATATATATATATATACACACACACACATACATATACATACATTTATAATGGATTATTCAACCTTAAAGAGGAATGAAATTTTGATAAATGCTACAATACAGATCAACCTTGAAAACATTATGCTAAGTAAATAAGCCAGATGCAAAAGGACAAATATTGTATGACTCCACTTACAGAAGGTACCTAGAGTAGCCAAATTCATTAGACAGAAAATAGAATAGAGGTTACCAAGCTCTGGGGAAGGGGAGAGTTATTGCTTAATGGGTAGCACTTCAGCCTGAGATGATGAAAAAGTTCCAGAAATGGACAGTTGTGATGGTTGTACAACACTGTGAATGCACTTAACGCCACTGATTAAATGGTTAAAAATGGTTAAGATAGTAAATTTTATGTGTATTTTACCATAATTCAAAATAAAATAAAATGAGAAAAGATGGCCAGTTTCACATTCTGTATATTTTACTACAATTAGCCAAAAAAGAGAGAGGGAGAGAGATTCAGCACCTAAGTCTGCTGCTTGCCTAATTTATCACAGTCCCCCAGGACTCACTACGGATTCAGAGGAGGAACTTAAAAATCATGTTGTCCATTCTAAGGACAAGGAAACTGAGGCTCAGAGAAGTGACCTCCCTCAGGTCACAGAGCTAGTTAGTGACAAGCCAGGTCTCTTAACTCCCATCCTCATGCTGTTTCCTTTACATCAAATAGCCCATTTCTCCCCTAAAAGTGAGGCCCTCCAGCATGTTCCCTGCTCACCACCTGTCCGGGAAGCCAGCAGGGTGGCCCTGAGTGGGTACAACAATGTCACACTGTGAAGCTCCACCAGCCCCTAAATATCTGTTGCATCAATCTGCCACCAGGTCAAGGACTTTCACCTTTGGAATCTCTTTCCTTCATTAGGGGCTGATCTCCTGATGAAATGGGAGGGGAGGCTGGGATCTGTCTCCCCCCGCTAGAGGTGAGCGCCCAGCCCTGTCCTGACCCATGTGGCTTTATTGATGAGTATGTCTGGGTAAAGGGGTGACTTCTTGGGAAATAAGGAACATCCTCAAACTGGAACAAGACGGGTAAATTTTCCTGGGGGATGGGGATTATAGACCGAAAAATGGAAGCAGAAATTATTCAGAGCTCAAATCCCTAAGTTTTTTTTTTTTTTTTTTTTTTTTCTGGTTGTCAGAACTGGGGTTTTATCAAATTGGAAATTGTATTAACAATCAAACAAATCAGATGGGGAGACGTTTCGAGGCTGAGGTGGGAGGTATTTGGTTTTCCTCCAATCACTGTGGACCACGATGCCATCGTGTTCACCCTGGGCGTAGGGGCTCAAGGCAGAGGAGTGCAGGTGGCTGCCTCTTTCCTCGCTGCCCGAGTTCTCTCCTCACACCCCAACAGTTGGGTCTTGCTTTGAAGCCTGAGTTCTGTTGCTCCTAGCTTTCAACCCACCATTTTCAAAGTCATTTCTCCCACCGCTACTGCTCGAGTCCTAGCCCTGCTCCAGTTCTTCAGCGGCCACAGACACTGCAGTCTCTCTCCTCCACCTGAGTGCTTCATTTCTTGCTCCCCCAAATCACCTGTCACCTGTCACTGCCTCTGGCTGCCAATCACTATGACCCATGGTCTCCACTTCCGCCTGAGTTCTACCTCTGCCATTGCTTTAATTCTCAACCACTACCGTCCAAGTCCTTCCCACCACCCCTGTCCAGGTCTGTGCTGACTGCTCTGTGAGGACACTTGCACTCTGCTGCCTGAGTTCTCCAATTGCTCCAGCCCACGGTCGGTCTCAGTGCTCTGCCTGATATCTCTTCTCTCTGTTCCCACCTGCCAGTGTACCCTGCCCCCGCTGCTGGACCATCCAATCTATCCTTTCGACTCACGCTCTCACCCCCGCAGGGGCTGTCACTACTGCTGCTGCAGAAGCTAGGCTTGTCATCCTTTCCTCAGACTCAGATGTTCCATGCTCGAAAGAGCCAGGCAAGGAGCGGGTGGGCAGGAGCAGGGCTGCCCCGGGAGGTGCACATGCGTACCTGGGGGCGGCAGGGCCCAAGCCTGCCCTCAGGAGAATCTCCCACCAGTCTCCACTGCTTGGGTCTCCACTGCTGAGGGCAGGGGGCTCCGGCCTCACATGGGTTCTAGTTTGTTGAGGTCAGCTCAACCTCCTGGGAGCAGCTGGACCATCTCTGCATCTTCGAGGATGACGGAGTGTGGAGTGGGCAGTGGCCCTCAGAGTTTTCAGACCAGAGCTGCAGTTTCCAACCCTCCTTACTCTCCGCTTCTCTAAGTAGGTTCCAGGTACAAAGCAACTGAGGCATTTGGGGCTGGGGTGTGGTCAGGCCCTGACTGAGGCAGGCGTGGGCAGCTCCTCTGCACACCAGGTGGGCACTGGAGCTGCGATGTGGCACAGCAGGTGCGGCACGGTGTGGCCCCACCTTGTGCAACCTGGTGCCTCTGCCACATAGGACTTCTGCACCCTGGATGTCTCCCCAGGATGGCTGCCGGGTGCAGGGCTGTTTGGCCCAGCTCATCTTGCAGGCCCAGGCCACAAGCCTAGGAAGAGATACAGGAAGAGCTCATGCTGATGAATCACCACCAAGTACAGTGCCAGGTCCCCCTCCTCTGTGATATAGCCGAAGACGAGAGGCACCCATGACAGCCCCCAGCTGCCCAGGGCACTGAGTCTGGACCCAGAGAGTCCAGGCCGCTGTCACACCATTCATCCACACCCTCAGCTTTCCCCAAGCATGCTACCTGCCTTGGCCCCGCTGAGGCCTGTAAGTCTTCTTTTGGGCTGGTGGTTTCACTGAGGAGAGTGCCTAGGGAAGTGGGGAGGACCAGTGTCTCAGTTTCCTAAGGCTGCCATAACAAACTGCCACAAACTGGGTGGCCTGAAACAACAGAAAGTTATTCTCTTACAGTTCTGGAGGCCTGCTATGGACTGAATTGTGTGTCCCTCCTGCAAATTCATGTGTCGAAGCCCTAACCCCCAGTGTGATGATATTTGAAGATGGGGCTTTGGGGAGTTCAGGTTTAGATGAGGTCATGAAAATGGGGCCCTCATAATGGGATTAGTACCCTTTTAAGGAGAGACACCAGAGCGCTTGCTGTCTGTCATTCTCTCTTCCATGTGAGGCCACAGTGAAAAGGCAGCAGTTGGCAAGCCAGGAGGAAGGCCCTCACCAGAACCCAACCATGCCGGCACCCTGAGCTCAGACTTCCAATCTCCAGAACCGTGATAAAATTAATTTCTGTTGTTTAAGCCACCCAGTCTGTTGTGCCTTGTTATGACAGCCAGGGCTGACTAAGACAAAGCCAGAAGTCCAAAATCAAGGTGTTGACAGGCTGGTTCCCTCTGGAGGCTCTGAGGTGGAATGGCCTCCACGCCTCACTCCTAGCTTGTAGTGGCTGCCGCAACCTGTGTCGTTCCTCGGCTTGTGGCAGCATAACTACAATCTCTGTGTCTGTCTTCAATGACCTTCTCCTCTGCCTCTGTGTTGCCTCCTTTTATGTCTCATAAAAACACCTGTCACTGGATTTAGGATGGGCCTAAAAG